TGAGGGTCACTAATGCGCAGGGCCAGAATGAAGAAGCGACAAGAACATTTTATGTAGCAAGAAAATGGTAGTAAAGGAATTTTATCCAAGTACCACTCAGCATAGATTTATAGTAGACAGAAAAATAGAAGACAAACACAGAGCTGTTAACATGTCAATATAGGAAAGGAGGGAGGAATTATATTATATGTAAAGTTTGAATGTAATAGGAGGCGCCAGACAGTTAAAGAGGAGAGGAGACGCTGGGAAAGACTTCGATCATGAAACCAAAAGGCAAACTATCATTAACATAGCGAAGCTTGGGTAAGGGACCCTAGTCATCAGTGGAACGAAGAAGAACAGTTTCCATGTTGACCAAACTACACGGTAGAAAGTGAAGAGACGAGTGCGTTTCGGTCTGTCCTGGACCATTATCAAGTCGAATGTGATGAGAGGAAGTTGTTGTTGTTGTTGTTCTTGTTGTTTTAGATTCAACTACTCAGAACAAAAAGTTCCAAGTAGCATGGGCTATGGTGATCCCGTAAGTGGAGCTCTTTGGAGCCATTAACCGTGTCAATAGCTTATACTGGAGATCTGGGGATAGACGGGTGTCTTGGAGGGCTGGCTGTACCAGTTACGGAGCTGGTGGGGTTGGCGTAGACATCTAGGTATTCTGTTTTTTCCTTGCGACTTTGGCTGAGCCGTGCTGTCATTGGATATTTTTTTGAGGTGGCCTCCATGAGGAGGTCTTGTACCTAGTAGGTGTCGTATTTGTGGTGCGGCGGTGTAGCTCCTACTAAGATTTCCCTGTCTGAGGAGTCCGTAAAACATTCGTAGATGGAGTTTTCGTCTTTCGCCTCGCAGCCCGAGGTAGACTCAGATGTCGTAGATTGGTGGTAGACGGGATTTCAGAAGTGTTGGTGGTGTTGTTAGCATTTGTTGACAACACGCCTGCTAGTGCGACTGCTGGTGATGATACGAGTGTTGGGAGCTCTAGAGGGAAATACCTCTGTTTGTGCTGCCTGGGTCTTGGGTGGTTCTGGAGTCTGTGTTGAAATTGACCTCATGGTCGTCATTGTGGTAGTCTCCTGAGTGGTAATGGAGGCAGTGAGACTTGTGCCAGGGGCTATGATGGGGGCCAGGGCATTGGCTAGGTATAATTTTTTCAGTTCACTTACAAAACGGTGGTTGTCTGGTCCGGCAAGCCTCTCCGCTAGTGTAATAAGACCAGGGATAATGCCTGGTCTTAACGTCATGCAGGGGGTTGTAGGACCTTAGGTCCCCATTGTGACGGCTGGGTCGCCTGATGAAAACTTGTTCTAAAATTTCTACAAAAGTGACCTAACATAAGCTTACCCTTCTTTTTATCTTTCTTCTTTTTCTTTCCCTTGTTTTCTCTTACGATCCCTTTCTTATGGCTATACTATTACCCCCTTTATTACATCTTATCTTCCGTTCCTGTTCACTTGCTTTTTCTTCCTCTAAGATTTCCTTCTCCTCACCTCTCTCTGGCCTTTTTACAGCCTTTGTCTACTTCCTCTCATCACAGACGACTTGATAATGGTCCAGGATGGACCGAAACGTCGTCGTCTCTTCACTTTCTAGTGTGTGGTTGGTCAACATTTTTTAGTCACGTTAGTGAGACTCCTCATCTGCAACAGTTTCAATGTACTTAATAAAGAGACGGGGAATAGCAGAAAAGAGAGGGGAAGCCTTTCCAACTCCGAAATTTGATGACAAGTTTTACCCATTGAAAGAGAAGTTAGAGTCAGCACATAGTCTGGATGAGATCGAGAAAGTTGTCGGTAGAAAGCTGGTAGCTGGTGGTGAGAAAGGCCAGAGTTGCGTTATGACTAAAGAGTAAGTGAATAACATCAAATGGAATGTGTCGTTAAAGTCCTTGAGAGTAACACAGATGGGCACGGGAAAAAGTAACAAGATATGGAGTGAAAGTTTTGGCAAGCCAGATGGCAAGAGGTTTGCCGACAGAGCCTCTTGAAGAAATAATAGGAAGAAGAGAATTACCAGGTTTTTCAGTTTAAGAGAGAATTTGCATGATACACCTCTTACCTTCTTTTATCCTCTGATTTTTTACCTTATATACTCACGTTCTTTAGTTCTCTCAGTTCACTATGTGATGATCTTGATAATGATTAAGGATAGACTGTAACGTTACCATTTCGATGATATCGGATGTGTTAGTATGTGTCTAATTATCAGCCAAGTTATTGATACTTACTATTAGTTTCAATAAGTTACTGTTAACTTGAGAAATGTTAGAGAATTGGATTCCAATCATACATACATATATATAATTTACAAGATTTTAAAATTTCTGGCAATTTTCAGTTATTAAAAATATTACCATGCAATTACACATGGAGACGTGATAATCATTACTCAGCTTTTCATATTTATTTATTGCTGAACCATTGTTTTGCTAATTTGTTGCTGGTGATTTTTTAGGCGAGGGAAAAATGATTGAACACGTGGTATTATCACCTAAAAATATATATGGTAATAATTGTATTTATATTTATTTCAATTAAAATAAATATTTGATTAAAGTATTTATGATTTTCCTAGAATCCTGTAAGAGACAACTTTTACCTATGAGATAATTTTTTAATTAAAATGTCCAGATATTATATGACATTTTATGTACTTAAAATATAATTGTGTATGTTGAAGGAAACCTGAATTCTTTTTTTAATGTTTATCTTCTTAATATTACATACCCTAAAATCTCGCTTAAAAATAAGGAAAAGATAATAATATTTGTAGTTTTTCTAGTTTTAGAACTGAATAAATGGGATCACGTTCATGGAACAATTGCCTTCTCAGTTTAATCTCATAATATTTTATCTCCAGTCTGTAAAATAGTTACCAAACCTGATTTGCATGATCCAAGCTGGATCTAACAAGGACAAGAGAGAGTTTTTTGGCATCAATGTTCCTCATATTTGGACTCTGTGTTACAAAATAGACATACTAACCACTGAACTGCACCTGACAAATTGAAGTCCATCTTTAAAATATATTAAATTCCTTCCACAGCATTCTTATCTATTTTTATTATCCAATCTTCCTTATTGCCACAAATAAATAAAAAATGTTGCTTTTGTCTTCAGATTATTTATAATAGAAAAGGTCCTAAGAGAGAGTCTTCCAGGGGAGGGTCCTCCACTTGTTATTCTTCCCAAACTGATTTCTCTCCATTTGTGATGACCAGCAGTTTCGTGTCATAGATGCTATGCACTCATACAGATTTCGAACTCCTCTCTAATATCATGTGAGACCATAAAAAATTCTGTTTGAAATCTTAATATTAATTTGCAATCTTTTACGTGGTATACTTTTTCAGATTTCTTGATACAAAAAAATATTACTTGTGTAAAACGAAACTGTACTTCTGTGAAGCAGTGTTTTAAGGGAATACTTAATTTCGATTTGTCAAGCTAATTTAAAACTTAATTTTTTGCATCAGTTTGCTTCGTTCTCGGTGAGATTGAAATAGCTGGTCACGTTTCCTGTTTCCTAATATACTGTTCACCAAGCAGTAAGTAGATTCCCAGGAGAACCGCGATTCAGGCCAAATATATAAGTATACATAGTCTTCTTGTCCCTGACAAAACATACTAAATTAAATTAGACTGACAAATATATAACTAATTATACTATAGTTAGACATCAGTTTTCTATGTCCATTTTTCCAAAATAGAGCTATATAGAAAGCTATTCACAGTTCTTCATCCATATATAATAGTTAAAAATGGTTGACTAAACTCTACCTTACATGCTTTAAAATACTTGTAATTACTTTATTGGAGAATTGTTTGGCTTCAGCTATTGTGATTGTTGTATAATATCTCTGCTAATAAGTATTCGTTTATGAATTTCATTAAACATCTGGTCATGAAGTTGTCCTTTAAAATGTAAAACAAAATCTAATAATTATGTAAAATATCACTCGTTTAATTATTATTTATTATTAGATGTTCGGATTGATTTCAAAGTGTTTTCAATAAACTATACATCAGGAAGACTGGTTTTGGATTACACTCTGTTAATAAGGATATTTCTATTTGAAATAATTATCTGTTCATGATACTAATATTACCTTAAAAAAGCATTCATCCTTAGCTATAACTTTAGCATTACTTATCCAAAATCGGTAATTCCTTTATTTTATGTCGCGCACAACAATAAAATAAAATAGCTGCAATACTGGAGTTCTTAGCAAGTATTTTTTTGTAGTTATATTTGTAGTTAAAATACAAATAATCACAGTAAGTCATTGCAAGGCAAAGTAAATTACACATATAGAAGATATATTGTTTAGAAATTATGATGCTGAATTCTGTCAGGAAAACTCAATTATAAAAAATAATGGTTTGAGTTTATCACTTTTAAAATTTGACCTGATTCTAATGAAATTTTTTAACAGTCTGCGAATGTTTTTCATTCGATAACAAATAAACTAAATAACATGTATGAAGTGTATTTCAAAATTAAGAATATTATTCAAAATTTATAAATATATTTTATTATTGAGATAAGTTAAACTAAAATTTACTTTATTAGAACGTCCTTTTATATTTTTAATTTTATCAACCCAATGACTTCATTATAATATGCCTGCATATATGCCTCAATACAACAGGTTTTTATTTTCATAGGGGAAGTTGAATAGGATTCTTATAAAAAGCAAACCTATGTTACTATAGCTAAATATCAAATAAATACAATACTCAAAATGTTCCAGAGTAAGTTTTCAAAAAGTTAGGGAGACCAACCTACCTGCAGCCTGAACTAAAAAGTTAAAAAATGAACAATTTCATAAAGCTGTTTTAAATGATTATTTCTGTCATTTATTAGTTTACACAAAATTATCATAAATCCATTAAATATCATACATTTTATTCATACTTCAATATTCGTTCGTATCAAAATCTTCATTTACAAGAGGAATTTTCACAACATTGCAGTTAAGTTAATATTTCTCTCCCATGTAGGTGTGTGAAGAGGGTGGATGTATGATTGTCATGTGTAAGTAAGATGCAATATACTCTCAGCGTTACCATGATGACTGCAGTGATATTTGTGATGCTGTTACTGCTGGTCACTTCCCTCCAGGAAGTCACACGTCTCCAGCCCTCCTACGGTATTTAACTGTTGGGATCTTCACCAATCTTCATACTCTTAGTCATTAAAGTTTTCACTAAAGCCTTGTTTAGGCTAAATACAATTTTAATTATTCTAAATTAACTAATATCAATTATATCTAAATAATTAAATTTAATAAGAGATATGATTAATTTGATCATAATACATATAATATGTTTAGTATATATATAAGAATATTCCTTAGTTAAATATTTTTTACAGTGAGTCATGACGCAGTAAAACTGTTGAGTGGTGGTGTGGATGCTGTGTTGGCAACAGTGTCTCAGCCTCGTTGTTCCATTATGTTCCTCACGGACGGCGCCTCAACCCTCAGTACTGTGGCTGAGGTGAGTCCTCCATCTAACAGTTAGTTTCTATGAAAGTTACCTAAGGAATGCTGAAACTCTTGGGATGAGTTTCATCTCGTAACAGGATAAAATGGGTGAGATGTCGAGTTTGTTTGAACGTTAAAGCTTTGGTGACTAATTACAGTATCAAGTGGGTCATTTCTTTCTTATAATAGGTAACACATCAACAAGGGAAGATTGAATATATATATATATATATATATATATATATATATATATATATATATATATATATATATATATATATGTCGTACCTAGTAGCCAGAACTCACTTCTATATATATATATATATATATAATATACCAACCCTACCTAACCTAACCTAACCTATCTTTATAGGTTAGGTTAGGTTAGGTAGCCGAAAAAGTTAGGTTAGGTTAGGTTAGGTAGGTTAGGTCGTCTAAAAACAATTAATTCATGAAAACTTGGCTATATTAGGCAAATCAGGCCTTGCATAGTAGGCTGAGAAGTGAGTTCTGGCTACTAGGTAAACAATATATATGAATATATATATATATATATATATATATATATATACTATATATATATATATATATATATATATATATATATATATATATATATATATATATATATATGTCGTACCTAGTAGCCAGAACGCACTTCTCAGCCTACTATGCAAGGCCCGATTTGCCTAATAAGCCTAGTTTTTCATGAATTAATGTTTTTTAGACTACCTAACCTACCTAACCTAACCTAACCTACCTAGATTTTTGGCAACCTAACCAACCTAACCTATGAAGATAGGTTAGGTTAGGTTAGGTAGGGTAGGTTAGTTAGGTTCGGTCATATATCTACGTTAATTTTAACTACAATAAAAAAAAATTGACCTCATACATAATGAAATGGGTAGCTTTATCATTTCATAAGAAAAAAATTAGAAAAAAATATATTAATTCAGGAAAACTTGGCTTATTAGGCAAATCGGGCCTTGAATAGTAGGTAGGTGGCGAGGCTAAAAAGCATATATAGTATATCTGCATATATATATATATATATAATATACCTAGGTATATATATACATATGCGACATACTGAATGGTCCCCAGGACATATATATATATATATATATATATATATATATATACTATATATATACATATAACTGAAAACTCACACTTGAGAATGTGATAGGCGTCTATGCCCAAGATTACTATCCGAGTGCCGGCGGTGGGGTGGTTCAAATAGCCTCGGCTATCACCTCATTATGTCCGGTCGTGATGGTCAAGTGGATTAAGGCGTCTTGTACATACCAGTTGCGTTGCTTCTGGGAGTATGGGTTCGAGTCACTTCTGGGGTGTGAGTTTTCAGTTGCATATTGTCCTGGGGACCATTCAGGCTTGTTCGCATTTGTGTTCCTCACGTGTGCCCCAAAGAATGAGGTGATTTGGTAAAATGCTATGCCCAAGATTACTATCCGAGTGCCGGCGGTGGGGTGGTTCAAATAGCCTCGGCTATCACCTCATTTTGTCCGGTCGTGATGGTCAAGTGGATTAAGGCGTCCTGTACATACCAGTTGCGTTGCTTCTGGGAGTATGGGTTCGAGTCACTTCTGGGGTGTGAGTTTTCAGTTGCATATTGTCCTGGGGACCATTCAGGCTTGTTTGCATTTGTGTTCCTCACGTGTGCCCCAAAGAATGAGGTGATTTGGTAAAATGCTATGCCCAAGATTACTATCCGAGTGCCGGCGGTGGGGTGGTTCAAATAGCCTCGGCTATCACCTCATTTTGTCCGGTCGTGATGGTCAAGCGGATTAAGGCGTCTTGTACATACCAGTTGCGTTGCTTCTGGGAGTATGGGTTCGAGTCACTTCTGGGGTGTGAGTTTTCAGTTGCATATTGTCCTGGGGACCATTCAGGCTTGTTCGCATTTGTGTTCCTCACGTGTGCCCCAAAGAATGAGGTGATTTGGTAAAATGCTATGCCCAAGATTACTATCCGAGTGCCGGCGGTGGGGTGGTTCAAATAGCCTCGGCTATCACCTCATTTTGTCCGGTCGTGATGGTCAAGTGGATTAAGGCGTCTTGTACATACCAGTTGCGTTGCTTCTGGGAGTATGGGTTCGAGTCACTTCTGGGGTGTGAGTTTTCAGTTGCATATTGTCCTGGGGACCATTCAGGCTTGTTCGCATTTGTGTTCCTCACGTGTGCCCCAAAGAATGAGGTGATTTGGTAAAATGCTATGCCCAAGATTACTATCCGAGTGCCGGCGGTGGGGTGGTTCAAATAGCCTCGGCTATCACCTCATTTTGTCCGGTCGTGATGGTCAAGTGGATTAAGGCGTCTTGTACATACCAGTTGCGTTGCTTCTGGGAGTATGGGTTCGAGTCACTTCTGGGGTGTGAGTTTTCAGTTGCATATTGTCCTGGGGACCATTCAGGCTTGTTCGCATTTGTGTTCCTCACGTGTGCCCCAAAGAATGAGGTGATTTGGTAAAATGCTATGCCCAAGATTACTATCCGAGTGCCGGCGGTGGGGTGGTTCAAATAGCCTCGGCTATCACCTCATTTTGTCCGGTCGTGATGGTCAAGTGGATTAAGGCGTCTTGTACATACCAGTTGCGTTGCTTCTGGTAGTATGGGTTCGAGTCACTTCTGGGGTGTGAGTTTTCAGTTGCATATTGTCCTGGGGGACCATTCAGGCTTGTTCGCATTTGTGTTCCTCACGTGTGCCCCAAAGAATGAGGTGATTTGGTAAAATGCTATGCCCAAGATTACTATCCGAGTGCCGGCGGTGGGGTGGTTCAAATAGCCTCGGCTATCACCTCATTTTGTCCGGTCGTGATGGTCAAGTGGATTAAGGCGTCTTGTACATACCAGTTGCGTTGCTTCTGGGAGTATGGGTTCGAGTCACTTTTGGGGCGTGAGTTTTCAGTTGCATATTGTCCTGGGGACCATTCAGGCTTGTTCGCATTTGTGTTCCTCACGTGTGCCCCAAAGAATGAGGTGATTTGGTAAAATGCTATGCCCAAGATTACTATCCGAGTGCCGGCGGTGGGGTGGTTCAAATAGCCTCGGCTATCACCTCATTTTGTCCGGTCGTGATGGTCAAGTGGATTAAGGGCGTCTTGTACATACCAGTTGCGTTGCTTCTGGGAGTATGGGTTCGAGTCACTTCTGGGGTGTGAGTTTTCAGTTGCATATTGTCCTGGGGACCATTCAGGCTTGTTCGCATTTGTGTTCCTCACGTGTGCCCCAAAGAATGAGGTGATTTGGTAAAATGCTATGCCCAAGATTACTATCCGAGTGCCGGCGGTGGGGTGGTTCAAATAGCCTCGGCTATCACCTCATTTTGTCCGGTCGTGATGGTCAAGTGGATTAAGGCGTCTTGTACATACCAGTTGCGTTACTTCTGGGAGTATGGGTTCGAGTCACTTCTGGGGTGTGAGTTTTCAGTTGCATATTGTCCTGGGGACCATTCAGGCTTGTTCGCATTTGTGTTCCTCACGTGTGCCCCAAAGAATGAGGTGATTTGGTAAAATGCTATGCCCAAGATTACTATCCGAGTGCCGGCGGTGGGGTGGTTCAAATAGCCTCGGCTATCACCTCATTTTGTCCGGTCGTGATGGTCAAGTGGATTAAGGCGTCTTGTACATACCAGTTGCGTTGCTTCTGGGAGTATGGTTTTCGAGTCACTTCTGGGGTGTGAGTTTTCAGTTGCATATTGTCCTGGGGACCATTCAGGCTTGTTCGCATTTGTGTTCCTCACGTGTGCCCCAAAGAATGAGGTGATTTGGTAAAATGCTATGCCCAAGATTACTATCCGAGTGCCGGCGGTGGGGTGGTTCAAATAGCCTCGGCTATCACCTCATTTTGTCCGGTCGTGATGGTCAAGTGGATTAAGGCGTCTTGTACATACCAGTTGCGTTACTTCTGGGAGGTATGGGTTCGAGTCACTTCTGGGGTGTGAGTTTTCAGTTGCATATTGTCCTGGGGACCATTCAGGCTTGTTCGCATTTGTGTTCCTCACGTGTGCCCCAAAGAATGAGGTGATTTGGTTAAAATGCTATGCCCAAGATTACTATCCGAGTGCCGGCGGTGGGGTGGTTCAAATAGCCTCGGCTATCACCTCATTTTGTCCGGTCGTGATGGTCAAGTGGATTAAGGCGTCTTGTACATACCAGTTGCGTTGCTTCTGGGAGTATGGTTTCGAGTCACTTCTGGGGTGTGAGTTTTCAGTTGCATATTGTCCTGGGGACCATTCAGGCTTGTTCGCATTTGTGTTCCTCACGTGTGCCCCAAAGAATGAGGTGATTTGGTAAAATGCTATGCCCATGATTACTATCCGAGTGCCGGCGGTGGGGTGGTTCAAATAGCCTCGGCTATCACCTCATTTTGTCCGGTCGTGATGGTCAAGTGGATTAAGGCGTCTTGTACATACCAGTTGCGTTGCTTCTGGGAGTATGGGTTCGAGTCACTTCTGGGGTGTGAGTTTTCAGTTGCATATTGTCCTGGGGACCATTCAGGCTTGTTCGCATTTGTGTTCCTCACGTGTGCCCCAAAGAATGAGGTGATTTGGTAAAATGCTATGCCCAAGATTACTATCCGAGTGCCGGCGGTGGGGTGGTTCAAATAGCCTCGGCTATCACCTCATTTTGTCCGGTCGTGATGGTCAAGTGGATTAAGGCGTCTTGTACATACCAGTTGCGTTGCTTCTGGGAGTATGGGTTCGAGTCACTTCTGGGGGGTTGTGAGTTTTATTTATATATATATATATAATATATATAACTGAAAAAGGTGCGTTCTGGCATATATATATATTGTAATTAAAATAGGAAAGGGAGTACCACCTCTGGCTGGAGAGAAGGGGGACCCATAGCCTCGGAGATAAACACACATAACGCATTGGAGGGAATGTAGGTTCCTTCCAATATAGTTTCTGCGTGCTTTTTTTCTACAACCCCCTTCCTTTTTTTTTTTTGCGTTACTGTGTATTTAAAGGTTACAAAGACATACAAGAC